TTGAAAAATTCATTGATGCATGTTGGAGGTTTTAGGCTGCAGTTCTACTTGCTATTATGTAGACGTAAGCCCTATTGCCGTGGTGGCGAACCTATGGCACGCGTGCCACAGGCGGCATGCAGAGCTGTCCCTGTGGCCACGCGCACCATCGCCCAGAGGGAGGTGGGGCCGGGCCGCTCCCCTCCCCCTCTCCACATGCGCCAGCGCTCTCGCTCTCTTTCTCTCTGCACTGGGAGTCGGAGCAGCTGCAAGAGCTGGGCAGATCCGGGCTGGATGGTGGAGGCAGGGCTTTTTTTGTCATACAACACAGGTTGTATGAATGGAAGCTGCCAGCGCGAGTCCGGGTATGCCTGCAAAGCAATTTTGCCCCTCCCCCACAGCCGATCCAGACTCCAGAGGCCTTTTCCAACCCTCCAGAAACCGGATCGGGTCGCTGGGGGGGCGCAAAATCGTTCCACGGCCATGCATCCAAGCTGGACTGGGCTGGACTGGCTGGGCTTGGAGCCTCCTCGCTGCTTCTTCCCCCATGCTGGCCATGCCCACTGTAGCCACGCCCACCCCACCTGGCAATACATAAGTGGGTTTTGGGTTGCAGTTTGGGCACTCAGTCTCTAAAAGGTTCGCCACCATTGCCCTATTGAATCAAACAGAACTAACTTTTCAATAGGTAGATATAGAAGTTAATTCTTAGGAAAGTAACATTAGACACATAACACTGCTAGTGTTTATTTCAAGTAAGTTTTTAAAGGACTCCAACTTTGAAAATTTTACTTGAAAATGTCAATATTCTCATGCAAATGTCAGCATTCATCACATTTTGGACAGTCACTGTAATCTGTACGTTAGTATTTATTTTCATAATTCATGATGTTACCGCATTCTAGGTGAATTTGCTGAAGCTTCAATAATAAAAAGAAATGCTAATTCATGTTACAATTTTTAAAGATAATGAATAGGCTTGAACATCAATTGGGATTAATGAAAATTGTCATTTCCAGAAGTTTCTATAGTATACGTTAAAGATCTGTCAACAAATGAACCTGTTTGATACAGCAAATAGGCTAATTATTTGTGTAGACTAAGCATCTGAATGCAGATACTATTAGTGTTCCAAATATCTAGATAAATACTGACTGCTAAGAGGCTAGTTTAAGACATACTTTTGAAATTTCCTTGGTTTAACCTATTTCCAAAACTATGTGAAAAAACTATTCCAAAGAATAACCTACTAGCTACAATTAAAAGAACAAAAATACAAATTTCTTCACTTATATCTCATACTATATGAGTGCATTTCTGCTTGCTCTCTAGTTAAGGTATAGAATGGAAGTCTTCCTACTTTTCTTCTTGCACGTATCTCAACCTTCAGAAAGGTATTTCTTGAATGCCAGAATGTCCCTGTAGGAGGCTTGGACTGCAGTTTTTGGACTGCAGCGAAAGAAGAGCAAATCTGATATAGGTAAAGTGCTTTTCTGTCCAAGACGAGTTACAGTATATCTGGCGCTAACTGTACCTAGCCTTTTAGCTCTTTCCTTTTGGATGTAGGAGGCAAGGTAGGCGTATGGAAATAGCAAGGCATGCTTTTGCAATCAACTGGATCTTTATAAAAGGTGCTAAGATAGGTTACATCTTATTTCAATGTACTGATACCAAATAAATGTTACTAACCCTAGTTAGTCATGAAATAGAGAGGGATTCCCTTATTTTAGCAATACGATTTTAAGTGGAAAAAATGTATCTATGCCTGCTTTGCTGAAACTTCAGAAAGCCAATATCAACCAAACCAGGTGCTTCCTGCAAGGATTTTTTAAAAATGTAAGCCTTGTAATAAGCCTAATTTTGTTGCTATCACTACCATTTCTATTGGACAGTTAATATGCGTATTGCCTTAGCCTTAAGAGGTAAAGTAGTTTACAGTTTGTGATTCTTCAATCAGAATACAGCTGGATAGACCTTGGAGATCTTCTAGTCCAACCCCTGCTCAAGCAGGAGACCCTCTACCATTTCAGACAAGTGACTGTCCAGTCTCTTCTTAAAAACCTTCAGTGATGAGGCACCCACAACTTCTGACAGCAAGCTGTTCCACTGATTAATTGTCCTCACTGTTAGGAGGTTTCTCCTTAATTTGCTTCTCTGCTTGATTAATTTCCATCCATTGTTTCTTGTCCTGCCCTCTGGTGCCTTGGAGAATAAGTTGACCCCCTCCTCCTTGTGGCAACCTCTCAAATACTGGAATACTGATATCATGTCCCCTCTAGTCCTTCTTTTCTCTAAACTACCCAAACCCAAATCCTGCAACCGTTCTTTATATGTTTTAGACTCCAGGCCTTTAATCATTTTAGTTGCTCTTCTTTGCACTTTTTCCCAAAGTCTCAACATCTTTTTTGTAATGTGGTGACCAAAACTGTATGGAATATTCCAGGTGTGGTCTTACTTAGGCTTTATAAAGCAGCACTAATACCTCACGTGATTTTGATTCAAGACAAGAAGGGCCGCAGAATAAAAGTAAGGAAATAAACATAAAAAAGCAAATAACATATATTATCACAGTGGTCCTAGAATATTCACGAGGACCCAGAGCTGTGCAGACTATTCTAGAATATGAAATGGAGAATATGGCTTTGACACTACTTTTTAGGATAGCCTTTTCCAATCTGATGTTCTCCATGCAGACCATGGGAAAAGGTTGGGAGGGGAAGGAAAGGAATGGTATTAATGGTCTTTAAAGCCAAGTAATATTCAAAAAGACATATACCCAAATGTATATCATGCATACATCCCTTAAAATGTAAATGCTCTAAGTCCTCAGGAAATAAAACTGATAAACCAGATGTTACAATCTGGTTTCATAATATTATGATTTACTTATCAGCTTGTCTTAATGAGCATTAAACTTACCCTAATTTAAGTCACTGTCTTGAAAGGGTTTGTGGAGGTTTTTTTAAAAAAAAAAAATAAAATAAAATTTAAAATATGATTAATTTAACAAGGTTTCAGTTTAACTCAAAATTTTATTACATTTGCATTGAAAACAAAGGATAAAGGGATCATCTATAGTACTCAGTTAATGATAGTTAATTGTTATATCCATTATTATGTTAGATTGAATCTTTATAAACTGAAAATAATTATAATTTTTTTTGGGGGGGTGTCGTAATTTAATAACTAAGCACTTGCTATTTGCCAGATGCCGTAAGTTGCAGTTGGTTATTTCTCTGGATCCCACTTATTTGAGACATGTCAGAAACATAGTGGGTGTTGACAAGGAGATGCTTTGAGAATTATGCTGCATACAAAAAACTGTTAAAATCTCCCCCCCCCCCAGCCTTTCTGACAGAGTTAAATGACACATCTATGACAGTGTGTATGGAACAATTGTAGGGCACATGTTACATAATTCTAAGCATTCCTACTTAGAAGTCAAAATGACATGTGGTATTGAGTATTTCATCTAATATTAATTGATAATAAATAGAATCAGAACAAGCATGGAAAGGGAATTTACCTTAAATTCACTGCTGTAATCCTGATGAAAATATTTCTACTAAAATCATTAAGAGGAATTTGATATCAGACAAAAATTCCCGCTTTACTCAAATACCTTTACTTCTGTGTAAACATGCTAAGGTTTATGCTCCTGCACAAGGGACTAATCCATAAAAGCCAATTGTTTCACTTTTACTTCTCAAGTTTTATCTTTCTCTCTCTGTAGACTCAGCTGCAATAAGCATAAGTCATTTATTCTTATCAAGCATTTTTTGATGCTTAAAGAAAACTTTTATTCACTAATATTTATAGTTAAATATGAGCCAGCAGTGTGTTGCAGCTGCCAAAAAAGTCAACACAGTGCTAGGCTGCATTAACAGAGGGATAGAATCAAGATCACATGAAGTGTTAATACCACTTTATAATGCCTTGGTAAGACCACATTTGGAATACTGCATGCAGTTTTAGTCCCCAGGATGTAAAAAAGATGTTGAGACTCTAGAAAGAGAACAGAGAGGAGCCACAAAGGGGACTGGAGGCTAAAACATATAAAGAACGGTTCCTGGAATTGAATATGTCTAGTTTAATGAAGAGAAGGACGAGGAGTGACATGATAACAGTGTTCCAATATCACAAAGAAGAGGAAGTCAAGCTATTCTCCAAAGCACCTGAAGGCAGGACAAGAAGCAATGGACGCAAACTAATCAAGGAGAGAAGCAACTTAGAACAGACATGTCAAACCCGCGACATCACATGACGTCATGTGACGTATCGGAACATTTCCCCCATTGCTGGCAATGGGGTGGGTGCGGTTTCATCACGACGCGTCTAGCCTGTGGGCCGGCAGTTTGACCCCCCTGACCTAGAACTAAGGAGAAATTTCCTGACAGTTAGAACAATTAATCAGTGGAACAACCTGCCTCCAGAAGCTGTGAATGCTCCAACACTGGAAGTTTTTAAGAAGAGACTGGACAATCATTTGTCTGAAATGGTATAGGGTTTCCTGCTTGAGCAGGGGGTTGGACTAGAAGACCTCCAAGGTCCTTTCCAACTCTATTATTATTGTTATTATTGTTATTATTATTATTATTATTGTTGTTGTTGTTATTATTATTATTATTATTATTATTATTATTAATTATTCAAAGGACTTAATCATCTTAATTTTGGAAAAATCCATTTTGCTTCCAAAGTGACAGTGATTCAGCTATCAGAAGACAAAAAGCTTGCTAAGTAGATGCAAATAATAATGACATCAGCAAGTATATCAGGAAGGTTTACTGAGTACTGGAGAGACCAAACTGTCCTACATGAAAAACCAAATGAAAAACAGAATGGAGGTGTGGGAAGACAAAGCATTACATGGCCAATATATTAAACAACTAGCAGGGAAAGCAGATAATAACAAGACCTGGCAATGGCTAAGAGCAGAAAAATACCAAAACCAAAGAGACCATTCTGGCTGAACAAGGCCAAGCTTTAAGAACAAATGCATACATTTCTTCATTGCTTACCTCATTGCAATATTATATGATTCAGGGTGGATACATGTTTGATCCAAAGGATTTGGCTGCTGAATGACATTTGCTGCAGCTTTGGTTTTCTTTTTACACCCTTTCTCATTTGTGACTGCTTTATGACCTCCAGCTGCAAGCTCACTCTGTTGACTGAGATCCAAATCAAAAGAGAAAAGGATGTAGTTATCATTAAACTAGTGAACATCATATGTTTCTTTTCCGTTTCTGCCCACTGGGCAAAGCTACAAAACCTCAAACTCAATATACACATTCTGCAAACATTGCTAACAAATGAGCATGTGCATTATAACTAGCTAATCCTAAAAATTCTGCATATTGTGCAGAATATGTGCTCTAATTTAATTATTTGTATTTCTGTCAAGCTCCCTTGAAATTGAGCAACTTTTTTTTTAAAAAAACCAACAGGTTCAATATTTCAGGTACAGAGAATAATGTAAATGTTCACCCCACAGCTTCATTCATGAAGCACAGTGCAATTGCAGAACACATGGTTTGTAGTTTGAGGGCATCAGATTCAATTTTTGACATCCTCAAGTAGCCTGAGAAAAATCTTGAAATGACACTGCTGGTCTGTATGGCTAATACTAAATTAATAGACTATGGTTAGAACTGTTGTAAGATTGATTCATATGTTTCCTATAAACAGTTCAGACATCAAACTGAGAATCCCTCTGCTTTTTTCTTGATAACTGAGATCATTTTTCATTTTCCCTGCTTTTGTGTGGGTGCGTTTGTTGACTTAAAACCTTAATATGTTGAATCGGTGTGTTTTATTTATTTTTTATTGTACACAGTCATTGTATCTGATATCCCACCCCATATGCCAAAGAAAACCTCACTCATAAACTTACTATTACACAGCCAAAGTGGTCCACGCATAGAACTATTATCAACTTATATTTCTATTTAATTTTTATGGGTTTTCATTGAATTCCAAGACCAATCGTAGATCGGAAGATATGACTCCATATATTAAAAACATGTGCATCAATATGAGAGCCAGAATTTCTTGCACTGTCTTACAATATGTTTTTTCCCTTCCCCCCCCCCATACCAGCTGCATCTCAAATGCCGCTACAGCTTCCTTTGATATCTTAGGTTGGCTAGTGCAGCAAGTTCAAAGTTATTAATATGGGGGGAGAGGGGGAGGGAGGACTATTTAAGATATCTCTATATCCAAAGTTGTGTTAACCTTCAGCTTCTGAAATGAGTCTTTGTGCTTAGTCCCAGGGTGTTCAATCAAATTGCTATTACATTTCTGTTTTGCTTAAAATTTAATTGAACAGTCATTTGGTGTTTCTTTCCTTGGAAATGATGAGAAACTTTATTACGACATATAGTCTTTATGTGCCAGAGAATATTCGTCACTGGGCCAAAGTCAAATTGGCATTGTAAGACATAATAACATACAAATATGTCTAAGGTAGTTATTACTATTGAGGGCTGCAACCTCTGGGTGGGATAACGTGGAAAAAGAAGAGAGGAAAGAGATTCTGCTTATTCTCTCCCTGCACTCCCAATAGAATTTCTCTGGATGTTTTTTCTATAATGTTAGAATACCATCTCATATTTAATTATATTTATTACATTTGATAGTTTCTTTGTAAGAGTAAACAATATTTATTAAAGTTAGATGGATCAATATCTCAACTTTTATGTCACATATCCTTCCAAGGTGATTCATAAGCAACATTTACTATTTTGTAAATACAAAACCAATGATATCAATACATAACAACTCAGCGTGTCTTCCCACATGGCAGCTGATGAGGATGGATGGGAGGTTGGAGTAGTGGAAGATTAGTGGGGGAAAACTGTCTTGTCTCCATCTGAATGTTTATTTCATTATGTTAAGAGATGGTAATTAATATCTAAAAGCTGAGTTATGAACTTCATAGCTGAGCTGAGATGTGAATCTATCACTCGACTGCCTAAATCACATTGGCTTTCTATGACCCCTCTTATGCTATAATTGACTAAATGTCAGACTACAAATTACTTTCATCCTAAATGCAGACTCTCCAGTCAAGGATTCTAACCTATTACCTTCTGGGGGTTTTCTTTTATCAAATCTCTACTTACATGTGGAAAATAAGTAATCAACCTCACACCCCTTTAATGTTACCTGCAGAATGATCTGATGTATTCCTGATCGATCCTGATAAAGCCAGCACATTGTTGAAAGGATTTTGGTCCCAATCCTTTGACATCTTTAAGCTGTTCCCGATTGATAAATGGTCCATTTTTCTGTCGCCATTCAATAATATTTTTAGCTCTGTTGGCATTCAGTCCTGCAATATGTCTAACAAGCATAATAAAAGGAGATTTGGAATTACATTTCATAAAAGGAAGCAATAAGTAATATCAAAGCAACATAATACAGAGACTGCTTGCTCTAGGATGATTGGAAAAAAGCTTAATTGTAGCTGCCCTACTGTTGAAGTGATAAATCCAGAGATCTCCATTCAAACAATGGCTTTTTCAGTTAGTAATACAGAATAGTACAGTTTTACTAATTCTGAAAGTTTAACTGTTGGTTGGTTTCCCTATAAAGTTTCAGAGCTATGAAACTTTACCACACATATGTTTAAGAAAAACACAGTCGAGAAGGAGGAGAAATACTTGAGAGATAGCAGCCAGGATATATTAAAAGGAGGGGAAACCAAAACGGAGGAGAATAGCAAAGGAGGAGCACAATGACTTCCCAAATACAGAAATTAAGCATCAGAGTACATTTAGTGACTGTGTGAGGAAGCCTCATTTTGTAAAACTGTAACATAAGACTATCTTATAGATCCGGGGTCCCCAATCCCCGGTCTGCGGCATGCCAGCAATCGGTCCGTGCAAACAAGCGAAGCCCCATCTGCGGGATGCAGGCAGCATCCAGTCCGCAGAAAAACCTTTCTCCATGGAACCTGTCCCTGGTGCCCAAAAGGTTGGGGGCCATTGTTATAGATCCAAACTCAGAAAGAATAAAATCAAGCAAGTAACATAACAATATGAAGAAAGAAAACCAGCAGGAGATAAAGAATTTCCCAATCCATGCACAGGACTATCTGCCTAGTGCAGTGTTTCTCAACCTTGACAATTTTAAGGCATGTGGACTTCAACTCCCAGAATTCCACAGCCAGCAGTTGAAGTCCACATGCCTTAAAATTGTCAAGGTTGAGAAACACTGGCCTAGTGAGTCTAGGTCATGGTCTTGTGCCTGCTGCAGTAAGACCTGGATCTCAGGAAACAAGTCAGTTCCCTTGAAACCAAGATGGTTGAGCTGAAAATGGTTAGAGAATCAGATTGGTATGTAGAAGAGATCTTTTGGAATGCAATAACTTTGTCCTACTCCCAATATAAAAACTTACCTACCATTAGGGTGAAGAGAAATCTTGGGAAAAAAGAACACTTATGAGATGAGACATTACTACAGAAGAGGGCCATTTCTTAGGTGACAGGTCTAATAGCAAAGATTTTAATCTGAGGCTGGAGGGCTTTTGATTTAATATTTGATCATATAATACTCTGATGTGGGGTGAGATATAAGTGTTATGGAACCTATAGGAACAGTGCCTACAATGCTGTTACATTTAACCTTCATAAAAATGGCAAATGGCAAACAAGTCATGTGAAGTCACAGTTGATTAAAAAATAGGGAACTACTGAAAAATGCAGAGCACTGGTGCAAAACAGACTGCAAGTAAATGAGAGCCTAATCTCTTAATAATGCCTGGAAGTAATTTAAAGCCACAATGACTGATGGCCAATTGGAATGTATAAGAAAGGTTTAACCACAAAAAGACCAGCAAAGCTTTCTAGCAATTTTCAGGAAGCTATAGAAGTTAAAGCTTCCTTCAAGAAATGGAAATCTTATTCAAGAACTAAAAGGAGCAGTAATTTTGACAGAAAAAAACAGTAATATGATAATAGTGCAAAATAGTAGTTGAGAACTGTAAGGCAAAAAACACATTAAGAGAAACAAACCCCCCCCCCCATTAACATATTCAAAGGAAAAGCTGGCACAGAAGTGCTTGGGTCATCAGACAACATAGCAATGAAATGAAAGTTTAAGACACTGCAGAGAAACAAGAAAGTTATCTGAACCTGTGTTAAACTTATCAAAAGGAATTCAAATAAATTAAGCAAATTGCAGAAAGTAGAGGCATTAATCTAGGATACTTTGAGAGACTGCACAGCAACAACTCACCGGATCCTGATGACATCCACCTGAGAATTCTCAAAAAATCTCAGAGGTGAAAGTGTTTAATCTCTCAGCAAAAAAAAAAAAAAAAGGACTAGAGGACTGGCAGGTAACTAACGTGACACCAATTTTAAAAAGGGAATTGGGAGATTATAGACTGCTCGGCTTAATATCTATTCCAGGGAAATTGATAGAAATAGGAATCAAAGAAAAATCAACAACTAAGAAGTCATAGAAATAAGATCTGCTGAAGTACGAATTCCTGCCTCAATAAATTTTCCCGGTGACCACTTTGGAAACAGCTTTTTTCTGGCTTATTTGCATCATCTGAGTGAAGCACACAGAACAGAGACCTTTTTAATAGCAGTTTCCCTTCCAAGGTACGGATGCCCCCCCTTCCTACATTACTAACTTGCGAGGTGACAAGGATGGCCTTTCCTGTCATGGGTCATATCTCATGAGACTATTATTTTTAAGTAGGTTTGATTTTATATGTATTTTGAGCTTATATTTAAATTATATTTGGTTGGATTTCTTGGTCTGATAGCTATCTAGACTATTGTCATGGTTCCAATAGAACCATGTGAATGAGGGGAGGATATAAACCATGAAATAAAGAAATGCATTCATAACAACAACAATAATAATAATAATAAAGTTGGAAGGGACTTTGGAGGTCATTTAGTGCAACCCCCTGCTCAGGCAGGAAACCTTATACCATTTCAGACAAATGGCTGTCCAGTCTCTTCTTAAAAACTTCCAGTGTTGGAACATTCACAGCTTCTGGAGGCAGGTTGTTCCACTGATTAATTGTTCTACCTGTCAGGAAATTTCTCTTTAGTTCTAGGTTGCTTCTCTCTTTGATTAGTTTCCATCCATTGCTTCTTGTCCTGCCTTCAGGCGCTTTGGAGAATAGCTTGACTCCCCCTTCTTTGTGGCAACCCCTGAGATATTGGAACATTGCTATCATGTCACCCCCTAGTCCAGTGGTTCTCAACCTTCCTAATGCCGCGACCCTTTAATACAGTTCCTCATGTTGTGGTGACCCCAACCCCCCATCCAGCTGACCGGGGGGTATCAAAAACTTGACCCCCCCCAAAAAAAGAAAAAATGGGAAAGTATAGGTAGTCCTCGACTTACAACAATTCGCTTAGTGACTGTTTGAAGTTACAACAGCACTGAAAAAGAGAATTATGATCATTTTTCACACTTATGATTGTTGCAGCATTTCCAGGGTCATGTGATTTACATTCGGATGCTTGACAACTGATTCATACTTATGACGTTCACAGTGTCCCAAGGTCACGTGATCAATGGCTATGGGGCGTGGCCAGCT